CTAAAATCAGCGAGAGATCAGAGGAGGAACGGAGGTGCGAGGGGTGGAGCAGACCGCGACACCGCCCAGCCGCCTGGCGCAGGTATTTGGGGAGAAAACCGGCGCTTTTTTCCGGCGAATCCTGGCCAGCCGGGACCACACCCCAAAATGGCGAGGGGGGGGTCTCCCTCCCCGGACCCCGTTTTCCCCTGGTTTTACCCTAAAATGTCCCCCAACGCCCATTTTAAAGGGCGAGAGGAGACGAACACGCCGCTTCTAGAGGGAGTCCGTAATAAGGCCAGGCAGGTAATTAAGTGGAAAATTAACGAAGGGAGACGCGCGCCGGCGCAGCGCCGACTGACGAGGTTGTTTTCCAGCCTCCCGACGCCTGTAACTACCCCGTGGTGGGGAGTTACGAAACTCGTTCCCTTTCTTCACACCGGATTTACCTTTTTCCCCCGGCAAAAAAGCCTTCCCCCCCCACCGCCGGCATCGGAGCGGAACGAGGAGGGATTTCAATTTTCGCCTTCCTCGCCACGGATTTGAGGCAAAAAGCAGCAGAAAATGTTTCGAACCCAAACCCGACGCTGGTTTTTTTTTTGGGGGGTGGTTTTCCCCCCCCACCGCAGCCGAGCCAGGAGCTGCGGCATCCTTCACCGAAGGCGGTGAAGCAGCGGCACGGCCCCCCGGGCCCCTGTAAATTAATTGCTTTCAGACTAATTAAACTCAGAGTCCCGTAACGAGGAAGCTCAACCCCAATGACGTCACCCAGGCGGTGAATCCAGGATGCCGGTACCCCGGCGCGGAGGAGGATTTCGGCCCCGAGATTCCCCTTTTCCACACCGAGATTGCCCTTTTCCGCGGGTAAATCCAGCTGGAGGATCTTCTTCGTTTACCTAACGAGCGGGAGGGAGCCCGCGTCCTCCCGCTCCAGCTAACGAGCGACCCCAAATCCCCCCATCCGCGGCCCAAAAGAAAAAACCAACCCCCAACCAATCGCCCCGCACGTGCGTCGCTGCTAATCCAGGTCGTCCGAAACGACGCCTGTAAAAACCACGACAAAAATCAGGTTCCTGCCGCCTCGGGCTTCTCGTTAATCAATTAATTAGCGATTATTAAGATGGGGGCTCCGCCCCATCCGTGGAAGCGGAGTTCCGCCATGCCGGGGCGGCTCCAGGAGGAGCCGGGGCGCGGCGCGGAGTCGGCGCCTCGTGAAACGGGGTCAGGCGAAGGCAGCTTCGGGCGCGGGGACACACACACACACACAAGCGTTTCGGGGGGGTTTTAACCAAAATTCCACGTGTATTTTAACACCGATTCGTTTCCGTGAAGGAATTAAGTTGTAGGTGGAAGAAGGGTCGAAGAAATAAGCCTCTGTCCTGACGATTTAGATTTTAACGACTTGAGCGGCAACACACGGACTCTTCCGCTCGCCTTTGGCGTCCTCCCGCTGTAGGTACAGGCGGCCGTAGGTACCCCCGACCTGGCCTTTCGTCAGCCGGCCGGGATTGATGCAGACGCAGCCCAGCACGTCCTGCGGGAATACGAGAGCGATGGTCACGGATCCGGTCGACGACGGCCGCGACCCCCCCGGCTACAGCCGACGGGGATGCTGACAACCGCGACACCCCCCCCCGGCGA